GCAGCATCACCCACAAGTGACACCTGCTTAGCCATATCGCTTAGGCAAAAACGTCTTATTAATTGATATATTAAGTATCAGTTACACCTTTTTACAAGGTGTTTTTGAACTAAGAATCTGACGTTTTCCCTCAGGTTTTAGATCTGCTGAATATGCAAAGTGTTCCATAAAATTAATTCTTTATGCCTCTTTCTGTACTGAGTTAAACTTTAACCCTTTCCTATACCAACTGTATGTGTGTGTGTGTGTATGTTAGACCAGTTTATGTGTGTATGTAGGATGTTAGACCAGTTTATGTGTTTATGTAGTATGTTGGACTAGTTTAAGTGTTTATGTAGTTAATAAAACCTTACTTGTATCACACTTGATGTGTTCATTGTTTGCTCATAACCGGAGTCACTAATCATGCAGATTTACACTACAAGCTTTGTAGAATTGTACAGTAAGAAAGTTATTTCCCTTAACCAGGAAATTAACGTTCTTAGAATTGACAAGACAGTTGACCCTGAGAGGTCAGCTAAATATCTACAGCGGATCTAAAATATGAATAGTTAATTATAACTAGTTATGGTTAGTTATTCATATTTCACATGAGCTGATTCATTACACAACATAATTTGTAACAAACACATTTTTCAGTTAATTACTCAAAACAATTAAGTCACGCCAACTAATAGATTTGTGAGCCTAGAACCAATTTATATTATATATTTTTTCCAATTCAAAATCCACAGTTATCACAGCACATGCGACATGTAACCTATTTAGCATGCATATTTAAAGAACAATGTTAAACTCTTTTAAATAACACGTCATTTCAACATTTCTTATCCTTATCCAGTCCTATGCAAAGCATGCTGGGAACTAGAAATCTACTACCCAATTTCCAAAGTTAACAAGACTTAAATTAAGTTAACGCAGAAATTTAAGTCTAAATTATGCCCAATATTAAGTTAATGATTGAACATAAACATTATGTCAAATGAACTTAAAGTTAAGTGAGAATCAGAAAGACTTCTTGTCTCTCACTTGTGACTCATTACTGAATGTATTCACATTACTAGTTACGTGCTAGCCCTTTTTGTCTAGAGGAAATTGACCTAGCAGTAACACATTTTGGAGAGAGAAAGCACAGGGACCTCTTGTCTCCAGTCCCAATAACACACCTCCAAACAAAACTAATTTAAGTTTATTAAATCATAAGATAATGGGAAACAAGCTTCAGGAGGGGGCAAAGGCCAACACACAAACATTTCTAATGCAGTTTTAACCATAACTTACCTATAGATAAACCAAAAGAAAAATGAACTTCCCCATCTCCTTGACTACCCAGATAACCAGGAGAAAAGCAATTAAAGAAAAGGGCACCAAACTCCAACTAAATCCACAGTAGCACCAATGGTTAGTTCTTAACAGACAAAAGTTATCTGGAGCCAGAGAAAAGTCCGTGTGACAGGTTACAAATCTGTAACCCTCTCAGCTTGTTGCGAGGCAATGCTGGCTTTATATGCTGGCTTTCTCCTGGCTGCAGCCAATCAGTGGAGCTGAGGTGAATGGGCAGCAAACCAGCAACAGGTGAACCCAATCACCTGCATGAGAATGGTAGCAGTAAATAAAAAAATAAATAAAAATAAAAAACCCACACAGCACATAGAACAAATCACAAAGTCTCCACATCTGCAGTCCTAGAGAGCGCATCCGCCACCACATTGTCTTTACCACGGATGTGCTGGAGATTAAGGTTACACTCCTGGACAATTAGGGCCCAGCGCATCAAATGTTGATTGGAGTTGGACATGCGGAAGAGAAAGATCAATGGGTTATGGTCAGTGTACACAGCAATACGCATGGCACTACTTCCCCAAGTAAACCTTAAAATACTGAAGAGCTAACAGCAAGGCGAGGGCCTTCTTAATCATACTGTAGCGTTGTTGGCATTTCGATAACTTCTTAGAAGCAGATGGGGTGGTCAATTCCACAGGAGTCCTCCTGCAGCAGTACTGCTCCAGCACCGGTAGCACTGGGAGCTACTTGGCGTTTAAAAGGCAAATCAAAATTAGTGGCAGCCAACACTGGGGCATGGCAAAGGATATTTTTTTTCAGCCTTAAAAGCATCACACTCAGTGCGCCACTTAAAATTCTTGGAAGTACGGACAAGGACAGTAAGAGGAGACAATAGTGAAGTTACAACAGAATCCCCAGTAGTACCCACTCATACCTAAAAACCGGAATAAATCACACTTATGGAGTGCTGGAAGCACAAGTATGGCAGCAACCTTAGCCTCAACTGGCTTAACAAAACCCTGGGCAACTTGTTTCCCCAGATAGGTTATCACAGCTTTACCGTGCTCACATTTAACAAGATTAGAGAGGCAGCAGCCAGGTGACTGAATACGAAGTCCAAAAGTAGTTGCGTGCTCTTCCCAGACTTTTGAATAGATTACATCCAACTACGTGCATCACAATTCGGGACACCTGACAAGAACACCTGCATAACGCGTTGGAAGGTGGCAGGTGCATTTCTCATGCCAAAAGCTAGAACCTCATATTGTAGGAAATTTAGAAATGACAAACACGGAGATCTCAGATGCACATGGAGTTAGAGGCACTTGCCAATAACCCTTTAACCGGTCTAATTTGGTGACATATCTAGCAGAGCCTACTCGGTCAACACAATCTTCTAACCGAGGCAGAGGAAAGGAGTAAGGTTTCGTTAAGGAGTTAACCTTATGGTAGTCGGTACAGAAGCGATAGGAGCCGTCGGGTTTAGGCACTAATAAACAAGGCGAACTCCATGGACTCCGACTAGGCACTGCTAGACCATACTGCAACATATACTCAACCTCAGATCTCATTACGTCAAGCTTCCTGGGGTTTACTCTAAGAATGTTGCTTGACTGGATGAGATTCACCTACATCAATGTCATGTCAACATTGTCGTTCTACCAGGCACAGATGAAAGAGTGAAGGAAATTAATGAACCAATTTTCAGTTCGGTCGTCAAGCGAGCAAGAAAGCTCTGCAAATCACTCAATATGGCAGAGTTTTGAAGCTTTTTAGCTGCAACTTGTGTAGCTTTTTCAACTGGCTCATCTTCGGGCACTTCACTAACAGTAGCCACTGCAACAGGTGAAAGAGGAAATAGGCTTCTCACCAAGCACAATAAACGGTTTTAAAATGTATGTGACATACACGGGTCTTACGATGTCGATCAGGAGTATGCATGACATAATTTGTGTCACTGAGCTTTTCGTTGACTTCATATGGACCCGAAAATTCTCGGTACCGGAGTAAATCTCGGTAGACCAGGGCAACAACTCCCCTAACATAATCGGTTTGGCTGTTTTCATATGTAAACTAAATTTAACGGTATGCCTCAGGCACCAACTCGAACGCCCTCAGAATGGCAGATTTTACTACATCATAGTCAAGGGACTGACCTATTGGTAAGGTGGAGCAAACCTCTTGCGCTTTACCAGAAAGACTGCACTGCAACAAAGCCCACACATCTTTTGGCCACGGTAATTTCGTAGCAACCCATTCAAAGGCAATGAAATACGAATCTACCTCCGCTTCTCCAAATGGGGGTATGAGTTTAAGGTACTTACCAACATCAAAATCTGGCTCAGTAGCTGCATTATCAGTACCTTGGTATAAAACAGCAGCAGGTGAAGTGACGGCACATAAAGCAGAGGGGAGTCTAGAATGAGGCATAGGAACTGGCTTCCGATTTAATTCTGGAGCACGTAAGTCTAACTCACGCATCTTAATATCCCTATCTGCTTGAGCCTCTATAGCACGAAGCCTAATCTTCTGCCCTTCACACTCCTTTTTTTATTAGGAGGTCTAACTCCAACTTGACAGCTAACATCGACTCACCCAGAACCTCACCTGCCACGGCTTCTGCTGTGAATCCAGGTTGTTCCTCAACACTGACGACAGTAATCAGGTAAAAATCCCTTAATCAACTAGCTTTTCCCGCAAGTCTTTAACAACTTGTTTGGTAGCCTGCCTTGAAACCTCAATATTAAAGAAAACTGCAATTAAAAACAAATCTGCCTTCCTGCAACATTCAAAAACCTCTATGGTAGGAGAAAGAGTACATTCAAATTAAATTACGTAATTCTCACTACCACAGAGGCCTTCTCCTTCACCAAAAAGAAAACAGCCAAACAGAACAAGAAAGAAATGAGCAGATACTTACAATTACACCACGGTAAACTTTCACTTGAAAGGACGAGCCCCCACTTGTTACATGCTAGCCCATTTTGTCTAGAAGTAATGGACCTAGCAGTAACACATTTTGGAGAGGGAAAGCACAGGGACCACTTGTCTCCAGCCCCAATAACACACCTCCAAACAAAATAACTTAGTTTATTAAATCATAAGAAAAAGATAAAAGGGAAACATAGGCTTCAGGAGGGGGCAAAGGCCAACACAACAAACAAAACTATTTCTAACTCAATTTTAACCATAACTTACCTATACATAAACCAAAAAGAAAATGAATAACAGAGTGAACTTCCCGATCTCCTTGACTACCCATATAACCAGGAGAAAAGCAATTAAAGAAAAAAGGCACCCACCACCCTACAAATTTCCTTACAAAACACTTAAATTCTAAACAAACCTCCAACTAAATCCACAGTAGCACCAATGGTTAGCACTCAATAACAACAGACATAATGACATTATCTGGAGCCAGCAAAAAAGACATTCATGTGACAGGTTACAATCTACAACCCTCCCCCACTCAGCTTATTATGAGGCAGTGCTGGCTTTATATGCTGGCTTTCTCCTGGCTGCAGCCAATCAGTGGAGCTGAGGTGAATGGGCAGCAAATCAGCAACAGGTGAACCCAATCACCTGCATGAGAATGGAAGCAGTAGACAAGGGAAAGAAACAAACAAAAGAAAACACCACAAATCACATAGAACAAATCACAAATAAAATACGTCTCAGGACGTAACACTTGATTTAGTTAACTCTGATTAGAATGTAATATGACAGTTCACAGTTAGTTCATTCAGGTTTGGAACAACATGAGAGTAAATAATGACAAAATTATAATTTTGGTATTCTTATCCCTTTAAGAGTCAGCCATTGAAAAGCTGAATTTGTTGGCCTCTGATCTGAATATGTTTAGGTGTTTGAGCTTCTTACACCGCTGATATTTTGGGAGTGTAATTTGACCTCTTGAAAGTAAAGCATGAACCTTTTCAAATGAGATGAAATGATCGTCCCGAACTCCAGGCAATGCTTCTGTGTTCTTTCTACAAACAAGCATTGTGCTCACAGTTGATTTATGGACAAAACAGGAATATTTGAGGTAATCTTCCAAAACAGAACAGATGTGTGTGTGTTGCATGTCAGAATCATAAAATTATGTAATGTCTGTTTTACATGTCATATTTCATTATGAAATGATACATTTCAGGGCTTTTCTCAGAAACTATGTAAAATAGAATCCAGTTAATTGTGATTAATTAATGAATCATGTCATTTGACTAAAGGTTTACACGATTTTTAGGTTGATCAATCATACATAAATAAATATAAATTTACTGAATACACTGAATAATATATTGTCAATAATTATCTGTTGTATTAGACAAGAATGGGACAACATTCCTATTCCTAAACTTGAGCAACTTGTCTCCTCAGTCCCCAGACGTTTGCAGACTGTTATAAAAAGAAGAGGGGATGCCACACAGTGGTAAACATGGCCTTGTCCCAACTTTTTTGAGATGTGTTGATGCCATGAAATTTAAAATCAACTTATTTTTCCCTTAAAATGATAAATTTTCTCAGTTTAAACATTTGATATGTCATCTACGTTGTATTCTGAATAAAATATTGAAATTTGAAACTTCCACATCATTGCATTCTGTTTTTATTCACAATTTGTACAGTGTCCCAACTTTTTTGGAATCGGGTTTGGACATGGATTCTCCAAGATTACTATTAAAATGCACATTATTACTAAACGCGTGCTATACCACAATATTCATTATGAAAATGATTGGTTTAACAATGAAGTGAACTAACTCTACAGAGCTTTGGAGACTGACAGTCATCTATTCATCCACCACAGGAGGGCAGAAAAAAATCATCCACATGTGTCTGAGGAATTCAGCAGCAGCTTTTCACTTCTAATTTAACGGCTTGCGCTTTGTGATTAATATTCCCTCTCTCGCCTAAACACTGTAAATGCTGCTTTATTCCCAGAGTAAGAAAGACAGGGATTTGCTGCAGAATCATATTTTCCTCGTTTCCTTCTACCGACTCCTGCATGTGAAATCAAGTTAAGAAATAATGCATTATGAATATCACAGACGCCGCAAGAGGTTGATGAAAATGTGCTTTATTTGTTTCTCTACAGACTGGCGATATATGTATGTGTGTGTGTGTGTGTGGGGGGGGGGGTATATATTTTCAATTACTGAAAAAAGGGAAAAGGGGAAATAAGCTGCTTATGAATTATAGTCAGAGCGTTTGGTTCTGTGACCATCTGAAGTCAGTTAAATCCATTATGCCGTATGTGAGTGTTTCTTTTGGCCCTGTGGACTTTAAGAAAATAAACTCTTAAAACACTCTTTCACCCTCTCACTAGTTCACTTAATTTGTCTATTAAAACCATCCAGGAGCACATATGATCATTTTCTTTAAGTCATCAAGTCATTTTCACAGTCTCTGTTACATCTTAAGTGATTAATAACATTCTGTGATGGAAATGTATTTTACAGA